AGGGACAGCGCCCAGGCCCAGAGTTCAGGCCCCACAACTGGACCAAAAAAAAAAAAAAGACAGTGTTGGTGGCTCATACCTGTAATCTTCACTATTCAAGGCACTAAGGCTTGAAAAGGCACAGTTCAAAGCCAACCTAGAGAGGAAAGTCTACAAGACTCTTCTCCAATTAATAAAATGCTGGGCTAGAGATGTGGCTCAAGCGGTTAAACACCGGCTCATGTCAGCCAGTGCCACTGGACATGGACAACACAGCATCCCATGAGCAGGCAGCGCCAGGTAAGCACAGGCAGGGGAAGGGAAGCAGTGGCTCCGGTTCCACTTCAGGGAGACTGAGGCACCACTGCCGCCTGCCGGCGCCACTTACCAACTCAGTGGCTTGTGGCTGCAGACATGGACTTGGGCCTGAGGACTGTGAACACAGGCTGTCCCCCCTCCCTGTGCCCCTCCCACATCCTCCCCGGCACAGACCACCGTAGCCTGAGTGGGACAGTGCAGCAGCCACCTCGGGCCAGGCCCAGGTGCTGAGTCCATTCTCCCGAAAGACTCTGTTTGCAAACTGGTTTAATCAGGAATAGAGCCCACTCTCCCCCTCCCAACCCCCCGCCCCCCACCCCCACCCCGCTGCCCCCAGTCTTCAGCTAGGCTGCCATTCACAGAAGGCAGGCAGGCTTCTCCCGCCTGGTGCCCATGGGATCTGCAGGGCACCGGCCTGGGGTCAAGTCCACGTTTCTGCTTGCAGGGCTGTGACATGAGGGGCTGAGCGGGGGTGCCAGGCATGCCGGCAGCGCCCTTCGCCATCCCGGCAAGCATCTCCCTCATCTGCCAGCGCGGCAGGGGACACGCCAGCCCCCTGGTTCCTGCTGGCCCTGCAGGAAAGGGAAGTCAGGCCAGCGCACTGGCAACCCCACAGCACACACACACACATACCCGCGGTCAGCAGAGCTGTGTGCTGGCAAAGAGCGGGGCCCAAGGACAGCCTCACAGACGCCAGCCCTCACCTACACAGAAACTGAGGCTCTGGCCTTGGAGAGCCTCCTGAAGGGCGCACGTGAGGCCTGCCCGGGGGTCCAGGCTGCCTCAGGGCCCAAGTCCAGTGAAGGGCCTGCCTGAATTACTGGTCCTGAGGGTGAGGCGGGGCTTTGGGCAGAACAGCAGAGGCAGAAGGGCAGCCCCAGCCGGCTGCCCAGCAGAACCTGGCCCTGTGCATCGCTGTGGATGACAGCCAGGCCGCGCTGCCAGCCCTGCCCCGTGTCCCTGGAGGCCCAGCTCAGTACAGGGAAGGTGCTGGAGGGACCCAGCGCCCGCATCTCGGCTGGGCCCCAGGGCCTTGCGGCAGAGGCTGCCCCAGGGCCCAGACACTGGGGGTCCCCTCAGGTGCCCAGGAGGGCTGGTGGAGGCTGGGGGTCAGAGGCTTGCCTTTCTTTCCACTTTCTCCTCCCTAACCAGTCCTTGCCCGGCCCCCCCCCCCCGCCTCACCTGCTCCTCTCCCTCTTCTCATACACAGAGTGAAGCTTGTTGATCAAGAAGATTTTGTCCTCCCCCTCCTAGAAAACACAGAACACGAGTGCGTGAACTGAGGGGCGCCGTCACAGGGTCCCCCAGAGCTGGCCTGTCCCAGACTGCATGAGGGGAGCTTAAACAGAGAGGTGACTTCACAGGCAGGGAAAAAAAAGGCCAAAAGCCAAGAAACGGGCATACTTGTAATCTCAGCTTCCTGGTGCCCAAGGTAAAAAGGAAACCATGTTTGGCCTAATAGTAAGGAACCCAGAGCCAGCAGACTGACGTTCAAGCTGGTCCTGTCACTAGTAACTCTGCCTTAGGCAGATGACCTGTCTCCTGACCTCAGCGCCACCATCGCACAAGGGACTGCACGGCAGGCGTCGTGGAGCTTGTGTGAGGGTCTTGGGCTGAGGAGCTTAACGCGATGCAAACCCTCACCCTTCAGCTCTGGAGGTCAGAGGGCTGAGAGCAAGGGGGCAGTGCCCAGCAAACCACCCCCTCCCCCATCTGTCCTGCTGCCAAGGCTCAGCATTCAGCTCCTCCCCCTCCCCTCCCTCCCCACTTCTCCAACCCCACCAGCCTGTGCAGTCCCCAGCAGAGCCACACAGCCCAGGCTCCAGCTCCCGACATGGCTTCCGGGCCCGGCACTCTTTGGACCGTGTGAAACACACGCCTGCCAAGTATTTGGCACAGAACCAAGGGCACCCAAACACCGACCAATACCAGGGGCCGCACACTGGCGGCCTCAGGCTCAGGAGCAGCCAGGGCCCGGCAGGAAGCCGTTCCCCGCAGCCAGGCAACCTGACTGCTCCCCCCAACGCCGCCCCCTCCTGTCACAGGCAGGAGAGGCCACCGCACCCCAGGGCACCATCTCGGGCCCAGACAAACCAAGGGCAGAGCTGGGGACCTACCAGGCCCCTCGGTGCCCCCTGCCAGATCCCAAGCCCTGAAGCCCACCCTGGGCAGGAGCCACTGCACCCAAAGCCTGCTTCTGACAGCACAGTCATGGGACCCCCTTCTCCCCGCCGCTCCCGGAATCAAGATGCCACAGTGGCCCTCAGAAGTGGCAGGGGAGGGCCTGCCCTGGACACGGGGTGCAGCGGCAGAGCTGCTTGCTCAGCCCAGCGGCTTCAGTCCTAGCTCCCAGCGCCCGGAACCTGCAGCAGGCCCGCACTGCTGTCCCCGGGGAAGATCTGTACGCCATCTTGGCAGGGCTCGAGTGGCCCAGCACGCACTGGGATGGGCACCCAGCTCCTGCAGGAGGAAGGGCCCCTGGCCAGGGGCAGGCTGAGGGCGGCCTGTCCCGGTGAGTCCCCAGGCCTGCTGGCCCCCAGGCTCCCATTCCTTGAGCCAGCTGGAAGCCATGCCGGCAGGACACAGTGAGGCAGGCACAAGCCAGGCACCGGCGCCCCGCAGTCAGCTTGATGGACGCTGCCTCGGGCGTCCTCGGCGCACGGAAGCTTCCAGGCCCATTCCTGACACTCACGCCATCCAAAGCAGCCATCACTGTGCCCACGCCTGCATCCCAGATACTCAGGAGGCTGAGATCTGAGGATCGCGGCTCAAAGGCAGCCTGGGCAGGAACGTCCATGACACTCTTATCTCCAATAAACCATCAGAAAACCAGAAGTGGCTAAAGTGAGCGCACGCTAACCTTGAGTAAAAGTACTAGTTCAAGCCCCGTGACCAACAAAAAATAAAAATTAAAATAAAGGGCTGGGAGTTTGGCTCAGTTGGTAGAACACCTGCCTAACAAACACAAGGTTGAATTCAAACTCTAGTACTTAAAAAAAAAACCCTGGCTCCTCTTCAACCTCGCACCACGCTGCACGCTGTCCAGCCAGGCTGATTCCTCAGGATCCTCACAAGTCGTGAAGCCCACAATGGAGCTGAACCCTAAGACTGTGTTTCTAGCTGGCCAGCCCTGGGGTGGGGGGTGGCTATCTGAAGCCAGGCCAGCCTGACGGCAGTGATGAGGGGTGTGGCACCCACAAGGTGACCAGATGGGGGGGGGGTGGACTGGGAGATGGGGGTGGGACTCACATTTCGGATCTGCTCCTTGAGCAGGCAGATGACCTCCCGCTGGCCCTTCACCACCTGGATGTTGAGGTAGATGACCGCCCTGTGGGAGACGGGTGGTCAGGCTGGAAGGGCCCGGGCCTGGTGCCAGGCTGTCCTCCGGGACCCCCCAGGAGCTGCACCCACAGCAGCAAGGCCGACACCAGGAAGACGAAGAGGGTGTTCTCCACCAGGTGGTAGTGCAGCCAGGGCAGCCAGGCGGCGCCGGGGCCCGCCCGCTCCAGGCGGCGCACCCACACGGTGCCCGCCTCGTACATGCTGTCCAGGGTCCGGAAGGGGCCGCAGGTGGCGGAGGGCTTCACCCTAGAGGAGGAAGCAAGCACGAACCCTAGCGACCCCCCCTCCCGCAGCGTCTCCCCTCTGCATCACCCCTCCTCCAAGTGCCCCAGCACCACTGGAGCCCGGGCATGGTGGAGAAATGGCCACTCACTGCCAGATGACGTAGCAGAGGAAGACGGTGGCGCCCAGGAAGGCGGGGAAGCAGAGCAGCGTGAGGAAGACGGTGGTCATGTGCGAGGCCAGCCAGGCCCGGCGCGGCGCCTGGCAGTTGGCCATCAGGCTGGCCTGCGGACAAAGGCTGCGCTCTGTGCTTGGCCACGGCCCCCCCACCTCGGAGCCTCGGGAGCCCGGGAAAGGACCTGCGACCCCCCCTCCCCCAAAGGGCACTGGGAGCATGCGCAGGAGCTCTCCAAGAATCTGACGCCAAGATTGGAGTCGCCGTGCCAACCGTTTTATCCCCAAAAGGGAGACTGAGATATGCATGCACCCATGCAGAAGGCCACCCCAGTGACGAGGTCTGTACCACACTGCCCACTACAGACGCCCCACATGCCTCCTCCAGCAGCCACAGATCACATCCCCACCGTGCAGCCGGGAACCAAAGGCCCCGGTTCTCAGCCCAAGCCAACACAGCTGAGGACAGACAGATGCCCACTGTCCCTTCCCAGCACCAAGTGACACCTGGGAATGGCTGCATGGATGGGTCCCGAGCCTAGAGAAGGGGCTACTGGAGCCAACCAAAGGCTGCCCTGCCCCAGCCCAGCCCTGCCCCTTCCCTTCCCTTCCTGCCCCGCCCCGCCCCGCGCCGGCTGGGCAGAGTCACCTTCTTGATATAGAAGAGCAGCAGCAGTCTGAGGATCTGCACGGCTGGCAGGAGCGGGGAGAAGAGGACGCCCAGCCTGGGGGCGCAGCTGGTCAGTGCCTCCTCCCCGCTGCCCCAGCCCTCCCTCCAGCTGGGACCCAGGAAGGGCCGGGTGCTGGGCCCCCAGGAGGGAGAGAAGTAGGCGGGGGATCCTCACCAGACCAGAGTTTGCCCGTAAATCAGATCCAGAACGTTCTTCGCAATGTCAAACTCTGGCTTCCGCCTCCTCTTGAGCTGCTTCTCTGAGAAGAGCCTGGGCCAAGGGGGAGCCGAGGTGGGCAGAGAGCCCAACCACACCCCTGCAGGTGATGCCAGCCTCCCGGAGCCCTGCAGGAGAGCCGAGGGCCAGCCAGGCCTCCCGGAGCCACACGGCACCATTCTCCAACTTTGTCTAGGATGAACACGGGCTCTGCCCTAAACCCAAAGAGGCTGCAGCAAATGCTGGATCTCAGGAGGCCGAGATCCGGAGGACCAGAGTGCAAAGAGAGCCCGCACAGCGAGGGCTGCGAGACTCCGCCTCCAAAATAACCAGTTAAAAAGTCAGACTGGAGGTCTGATTTGAGTGGTAGAGCACCAGCCATGAGCGAGAAAGATGCACCAGGATTGGAAGGTGGCTTAGCATGAAGCCCTGGGCTCCATTCCTCAGCACATACACAGAAAAAGCCGGAAGTGGCGCTGTGGCTCAAGTGGTAGGACGCTAGCCTTGAGCAAAAGCAGCTTGGGGACAGCGCCCAGGCCCCGAGTTCAAGCCCCAGGACTGGAAAAATAACAATTAAAAAAAAAAAAAAAGATGAGCACAAGAGCAGGCTTTGGGTTCAAGCCTCAGTACTAACCAATTTTAAAAATCCTACTTTTTCCCGGACACTTGCAAGTTCAAAGCCAGCCTGGACTACATAACAAGTCCCAGGTCACCTCCATCAGCCCCATAATACCGCCCTGACCCCCCATGCAGCTGAGGTAGTGGAGAACTCCAGACAGGATGTAAACCAAGCCTGGCCTCCATCTTCCCTAGCACTCCTAGGCCTTCACGTTCAAGGCCAGCCCGGCATCAGAGCACCAAAGGCTGGGGGGGGGGGGGGGGGGTTAGCTCAGTGGCAGTGAACTTGCCCGGTATGTCTGAGGCCATAGGTTCCATCCCCAGCATCACGAGAAGTGTTTTGTTTTTACATTTACCCGCTATGCAACTCCAACTCATCCATGCTCCACACACACACACACACACACACACACAGTGCGCCTGCCCCACCCACTCATTCTGGTTTCCTACACACACACACACACACACACACACACACACACACACACACACACAGCGCGC